CTTCCACAATACAGAACACAAAAGTCAGATGTAACAAAAAAAAATCTTAATAAAAATTGCTTAAAAATTCACCAACCCCAGGTACGAGGTGGAACTCGAACCCACAACCGGGTTCGCAATCCGGGCAACTACAGCTCCAATCAGCCTGGATTTTCAAGCATTTTGCAACTTTCATTAAGGCCGATCACAGAAAAGCTTATTATCTCGAGCTCCTCCGTGTTTTGGAAGGCACGTTTACTACCTATTCGTACTGGACCCGCGTCATGGCAAATTTTCCCTATTCGATTTGATTCAATCCCATCTTTAGGGAAGGCCTGAGTCCCAGAGGTGGGGACATTAATAGACTAGTGAAGGTAATGATTAGAGGCTTAACATTAATACCCTTGTAACACGCACGTTGGGCGCCAGTTGTGACGATTTTGGTGCTTAAGTATATGAAAGGCTGACTAAGGTTGATAACTTGATGTATTTTATAGTGTCAATAAAAAAAACTGTAACAACTAACAAAGAAAATATTAAGTTTCAGTTAAAGTTCGTATGGATTTTATAAAATTATAATAAGTTGTAAAACAAATAGTACTTTAGTAATATGTATACAATTTTCTTTACTGATTTATTATACGTGAAAATAACAGAACTAACAATAAAAAATGTATTTTGATAAATTCTTACACTTTTTGTATCACAAATTGATGTAATGTTTTCACTGAATGAATTTTCACGAACATTCAAGAACAGCATATCGAGTTACTGGAAAATTCAACTTACAAAAAGTTAATAATAAGTTTTAAGTTAATAAAAAGTTAAAAAGAAATTATGTAAAAGATTATAGACGAAAAGTTTGGATGCGGGAACCTACGACGAAATAAACGGTGTGATACGACACACCGTTACTCCCCTACGAATAAGAAACTTATACTTTTAAGTTACGCATAGCTCTGTTCACGTCATTTCAATGTGACTTTCAGTTTGAGAAAAAAATGACAAAACACTGTATAACTATACCACCGCTTACACATTAGTTATTAGGAAGGCCAAAAATAAAGATACCTAAACTTCTTGGTGAAGCGTTATACCTTGTCAACTCAAGCAGAGCTTTGGCTAACGAGATTGCACGTCAATGACACACTTAAAAAAATTCGGATTGGAGATTCTCTCATATTTCCGACGAATCCTATTGACACCAATCATTATGTCTCTCCTTATTCGAGATGGATAGATATCGCGAACTTGTCGTCTACACTCAAACGTTACTTGATACTAAATAAAAATCTTTGAGTGAATTTGCAGAATTGTTTACCTATTCAACTATCAAGCAGCGCAGTAGCGTACTGGATAATAAATATAATTATCTGTACACCAAATTTCATCAAAAACCATTCAGTAGTTTTTGCGTGGAAGATTTTACTCGTTCACGCTCAAACTTTCGCTTTTATAATGTCAGTAGGATTTAATCTGATTTAACTTCACAACATCCTATTAAATTAAATTAATAGGCAGTAAATATTGAACCCAATTTCATAGGCTCTGTCTAAAAATTATCTTCTGGTTTAAATTAAAAACTGAACAAAATATCGGACTAAATCTTTAAATTATTTTGGATGTGTTGTGAACACCAATGTATTTCGTCTTACTCTATCGCATTACCAATATACGAATAAAATATAGAAGCAAGATTAAATTAATAGTACGAAAGTCGTTACATATTTAAAAATATAATACAATCAACAGCAGCAATAGTACAGTTAAGTTACCTAAAATTGACAAATTCTTAATCAACCTTGAAAAATTGACATGATATTGTAACCTGACTTACCACACTTCATACAACAGTATTTAAATCCCAAAATAAATTGTGAATTAAGATAATGCTCAAATTTGAGAATATTACAAATAACTTAACGCCGGAAAGCCTAGTCGTAAAGATGTTATGAGTAATTTGAAGATACGGGGCTACGTGGACGAAAGTTGGGGTTTTCTCCGTAGTAAATATTACAAAACCCAACAACTTGTACCGGCACAGCCAAGCCAAACATCATACCGTTGGAAATTGAGATATTAGCATACAAATCCGACAAAATCCTGTTCGCGTTGCCCATCCGTTGTTCGTTCCCTCCGAAATTGGCTATTGCCATCCGGTGTCACTAAGACATTTCTTTATTTGTCGTCTTAATGTAGGAAATAACTTTTTAGGATTCGCATTTGCACAAATATTGTTTTCATTGAGTCAAACTGCTAAAAAATAATAACATAACTTTCATTCAACTGCCGATATCTAGGGCAAGCGAAAAAACTAACAATAACACAAAGTAATAGGTGGAAATGATACGGATACCTATGTATAGTTTTCGCAGAGTAATGTATATTTTGTACGAGGTCGATTCAGCGACCTATAGCGTTCCGTACAACAAGAGTGAATAGGTTCCTTCTAGGCCAGCTCGTCTCTCCGTAGAGCTCATTTATGTTTTTGGCTAGATTGGGGTCAAGCGTGAGCCCATAATAAATAAAAAAAATGCAGTACTACGTGGAAACCTAGAAGACGGAGAGTTCGTGTCAATAATAAATATGCAAGTTTTCGAAAGCTTGATATTTCAGTATCTTGAAGTACCCAGTGCGGAGGTCAGGTGCTGAAACACCTGATGGCGGTGCATATATTGAAGTGTAAAGAATAGGTCCATACTTTATAAGAGTTTCAAAATTTTGTGAATAATTTTTGAATTGCGACTCAGCAATCTCAGATTTGTTGTAAAACGCGGCATCGAAATTTTTTTTTGTAATGTCAGAAATTAAAATAATTACTAAATTATTATAAGTAAATTTAGAAAAAAAAATACTCATACTGTACTGTCGGGGAACGTGCCCCTTAGCACATATAGAAGTTGTTTCGAAAAGTCAGCTCAGCAGCTTTCACCAGTCATTAGTACTGAAATATCAAGCTTTAAAAAACCCTTGTAGATTTTACACTTTAAGACTCGTGTAGCACTATATGTTATATATAAGAAGGTGACGTCAGAAGCCATAAAAACAGTGAGCATTTAGAGTAATGAAAGAAGAGGAGGCGAAAAATGTATGTAAGGACCGTGGCTAGTGTTCTCACTGTCTACCTAAGGGCCCAACGTGATGATATAGACAGATAAAACAAAATATAATCAAGCTGATTCTGAATTCTGAATAATACTTTTTAGAGTGATTTTTGTACAACGAGAGTTCCAGTGTAATGTAATTAAGCTTTGACATTTCGGCATTGTTCATTTGTTTCGTCAAAACAGAATTTGTTGTTTAATAAAAAAAGTTTGATGAATTATCATCTCGAATGTGCTTTTACTTTTATGCGCACTTTTTAGGGTTCCGTTCCTCATCTAAAAAGTAAAACCGGAATACTTGTATGGTCACTCGGTTCTCAGACTGTATGTCTGTCCGTCTGTCACAGCAGTTTTTTTTACAAAACTAATGGATCGTTTGAGGTAAAGATGATTGAAGTAATGTACTTTATTCGAATGGCAGTTTTGAATTTACTAGTAAGTATAAGTTTCCTATTAAAAAATTCTTTTCTAAACCTTTATGTGCATTTTATTGAGTTATTATTATCAGTATCTTTTCGGCGCCATATTTTATTTTATAATTATCTGAGCTATTTGAAGTATTTTTTCCAAACTCGTCAATCCGTTCCAACTACCGCTTATTTCGATAAAGAATGCTCTCCTGGCCCCATCTTCGTGGATATTGTCATGGACCAGAGATCTTGTAAAGGCAAATCAAACCAGCCCAAAATTGACGGAATCAAGTTATTTAATTACAAAGTTCCCATGACCAGTTGACCACCTTCCCTTTCCATGATTAGATCATGAATATTGTTATGTCAGATCAAAGTTCTTGTCAAAACAAATCAAATGTTCCCAAACTTGGTGGGGTTGCTTTGTTGAATCACAAACATCCGATGGCTATCTTCCACCTCGATTTTATGTTAATATTGCATTGTCATCGAAAATATATAGTCGTGCAAAATTTTAGCAAAATCGTCATCTAGGAAGTATGTTTGATTAATCATAAAGTAACACTACATAAAATCTTATATAAAAGAAGCGATATATCAGTTAGTGAGATAGATAAGATAGTATATTGCTCGTAATGGAGTGTCAAAAAATATATTTTATGAATTACTCAAAAAAATCTAAATCCTACTTTTCAGGTACCATTTATCAATTTTGCCTATTAAAAAAGTATAATAATGACAAACCGAATAAATGATAAATTTTGATATTTACTTTTAGAATTTTTAAATTTTCATTCTCACGTGACACGTGTCACGTGACTGGTTAACTTGATAAGAAGTTTATTAACAGTATCTATTTTGATTATTTGATTCAGCTTTAGATTTAAAAAAATGTTTTATTGTTTATAATTACTATCATATTGTTATACATTTTTCTTATGTCATCAATACATTAATTTTAAAATGGCGCTTGCACAGGAAACGTGGAAAGTTTGAGTTTCTTTTGTTCATTATTCTTAACAACAAACGTCCGGGAAAAACATTGGACAATACAAAGGTACTTTTTATAAATTTGTAACTTGTAATTCAAATTAATTCCTGTAGACTGCGTGTTGACTGACAACAGTTAGGGTGAAAGTGTGCTCAAAACTTTCGATATAAAAAAAAACAGTAACACAACCCATATATTATCTACCCTCATATTTTCTAACTCTTGACGACGTGAGTTGGTCTTGTATGGATCAGCTTTTAGACAATAACCAGATATGTCTCGTGAAAAAATAATTTCTGTCAATAATAATTCATCACAACATCCTCAAGTTGTGAATATTGATCTGTCAAATTGATTGACGATCTCCGTTGAGGTAAAGACTGATTATTATCGAAGTCTCGATTTCAATGGTTACAATGCACAAATAATAGTAGAGAATAAATTCATATACTATATCTTAAGTTTATATGGGACATAAACGATTTTTTTAACAAATATTTATTTTCTTTTCCCCAGATGACGAGCACGCCAGATGCAAATAAGGAAAAATTTCATATGTAAACATCTCGAGTATGGTTTACATACAGAGATAAATCACACAAGAAATTCACAGGATGCTCACGTAGACGACAAAAAGCGAAGATGGGTGTGCCACACTCACAGACGAAAACTATCGTAGTGATTTTACTTTGGAACTTATGTTTCTGCAGTAACGTAGTTAGAAGTAAGAGAAAATATCCGGAACTCAATGCGAATGACAATCTAGATAGTGATCTTAGTTTTGAATATAATAAATTAAGAAGTAACACAACCAAAGATAACATTTACGAAACCGATATTTATATAATTAATGGAACCAAAAATGACAAATATAATATGACAGTGAAACTAGATAAATTGTACGATATAGAAGAGACGACAGATAAATACGACATGTTTAATTATACGGAAGAAAAGTGCGTTGGTGATCCAGAATTTTGTAATATGACAAAAGAAGAATACATGGACATGCTTAATGAATATATTTTTCCTCATCCTTACGAATGGGTTCTTATAGCTACACACGCTATTGTATTTATCATTGGACTTATCGGGAATGCTTTAGTGTGTATCGCTGTGTATAGAAATCATAGTATGAGGACAGTGACGAACTATTTCATAGTTAACTTAGCGGTGGCAGATTTCATGGTGATATTGATATGTTTACCTCCAACGGTGCTGTGGGATGTGACGGAGACGTGGTTCTTCGGTACGGCCATGTGTAGGATCGTCTTATACTTCCAGGTGAGTTGTTAGCAGATAATTTATTTTTACCTTTAGTTTAAAGAAATAAATATTTTGACTCTTGCTTCTCAACACGTTTATGAAAATATGATGTATGCAAGAAAACATTACGATTCCCTCACAAAAAAAGGTGTTCATAATCTTAGCACAAGAAATAAAAATAAACTTGCCGTTCCTAACTTCAGACTTCAAAAAACCAGAGGATCATTTCTGGGTAAATGCAATGTTATGTTCAATAAAGTTCCACAAATTGTTATTGACCTACCTGTAAATAAACTTAAAATTCATATAAAAACATAGAGTAAAGGCTATTATAAAGTTGATGATTATTTTAAGGACCGCAATGCATGGAATTAATAGCCTCCGCTTTGTTTTATAACGACTAATTATATGTATGTACCAACCTATGTCCTACAGACTTTGAAAATTGTATTTTTTATTGTTATAATACGTACTATTTTGGTGATAACATGATTTATGTAAATGTCATTTCTTATAATATAGAGCTGGTAAGATTTTTTCGCTTTCTTCTTGTCAGCTAAAAGACGTCCTGAACAAGTGGTAGGAGAAAAATTTTGGACGATTCACAATTGCTTGTAACAAGCTTAAGCTATAAAGACATTTCATTTTCATTTCATTTCAGTTATAAAACATTCACCTACATAGAAACCTATTGAGATCAATTTCATTAACAATTCACTTAGTAAATTTTCGTATGGTGCGTTGTTTATGAATGTTTCGACATTGTTTGTAAATGTGTTGACAGGTATGGAATCCAAATAATATAAAACACGTTTTAACATAAAAGCTTTGCCAGTAATAGGTCAGTAAACTTAGAGCAATTGATGTATTAAAATTTTGCTTAACATTAACTGCTTAAGACGCTGAATAGTGCCAAATCGATAAAATTAATCTAGGATTGTACTAATTCACGGGAAACCTATGGCAATCCAAAAATTTGTGGTTATACTTGATCGTATTTCTGATCTTGTGGTTGAAACCGAAACATGATTGTATTAACTTCACTCGATAGAAAATAATTCCAAAGTAGCATCTAAAAATATTGCGAAAGGCACGTTTCTCAATTATGTGATACATTAGAGTAATGATATTGAGTACAAATATGTATCAAAGGTTGATATAAAAGTTGGTTATTCCCAATTTTTGATAATGTTATTATAATAATTAATATAATTTATTTTGTGATATGGCACATATGGTCATTTTTTTCAAGCAACTTTAAAGTATTGACATTTCTGTCACTCCTACTGCAATTGACAGGGAAGGCTATAGAATAACGCACACTAACTTAGTTAACGCTGAGGCGTGTTGCTAGATGGACCTATGTTGCTTTGTGCAGCGTTCTGACGTACCGAGATCGCTAAAATTGTAAAAAAAAGAACATTTAAAATAAGTATTTTAATTTCGCTCTCATTTTAATAATGTCTTTGGTGTAATATACTAGGGTAGGGACCCGAGTGTCTCGAAGTTGTAGGTTCTAATCCCACTAGAACTCACATTTTTTCAAGTCGTTTTTTTATTATTTTATTCTAATTTTCATTTTTTTTCTGCCCTAATTTTAAAAAGCAACTTTTTTTATTATTATTAAACAGTATAAAATGTGAAAATAAATATTTCTTTAGTATGACGTAGGCGAAAGTCAGACTGACATTTTCATACAAAAGCCCCGATATTGATGAAATAGTTCCAATAAAATACATGTTCGTGTTCCAATCCCATCAAAGAAGCATTTTTGTTTTACTTTTATCTTCTTTTTCCTAATATATTTTCCTCTCTCATTTTTTTATAGGTATATGTTAATCATTAATAATTCGTTAAAATAATTTTGAATATTATTTTATACAGTAATTAAGTATTATTTAATTATTTAGTCTAGTTGATAAATTTAATTGCTGTAAAAATATATAACATAAAAATTGACAATAGGTAAATATTTCCATAAAAGTATGTGTTTGCAAAAGTTTGACATTTTCATGCAAAAACCATCCCGTAGACCGTTACTCTAGTAAAAAATAATTCCTAATCAATCATATTGTCTAAATAAAATAGTTCAATAAATAGGTATTACTTTATAAAACAGATATAAAAAAGGGAATTAGTTACTATTGAATGAATTTGAAAATTATGGTAACAATGTACTAAATAATAATGTACAGGTTTTTCACAAACTTTATTAGTGTTTGGTGTGGCGCAATGTCCTATGTGCTGGTCACTAGGTACTCATTGTGCCGCAGATCAAAACCAAGTTGCATGTTTTTTTTTTACCCAATATTTTTATTATGAGAAATATAATATTAAAAATTATTTATGTGTTTATACTAAAATATAAATTATTATATTTAATAATTGTATAGATATTATTTTTGACATTTTCATGGAAAAACGACTGAATAAATTTCGCGGTAATTTGATACAAAAATACCTCTAGATATCCTTTGTTGCGTTGTTGCAGTACGCAACAGAGGACGAAGATTTTTCTGTAAGGTAAATGTACAGTGTCCCGGACTAGTACACAATTTTAAACGATACTCAATAGACTATAGTTGTATTGCAACCAAAATAATACAATTTTAAGCATACTTGGTAATTTTGATAGTGGATTGGGTAGTTTCGATAGTAATAAAGATTGGGTAGTAAAGAAAGAAATAAAGTTTATTAACCACACCTACATGAACACAATGATTTTTTTTATTTTATTTTTTATTTTATTTATTTATTTCCCAACATCTTAAACATTTATACAGAATACAGAAAAAGTAAATCTTATAAAACAACTTAGTAAATGCAAAGACAATTATAGGTAAATACTGCATGCAATCCAACATCTTAATCTATTTATAAAGACACAGTATATCAACTACATTATATCTATCTTAATTATTAAAATAATTATACAGTATTTCTCTGAATTTATTCTTTGACAACCAATTTATGTCAGTTATATTACTAATACTATTGTATAATCGACTCAAACGTAAAACGGGTGAGTTAAATCCTAAGTTAGTACGACGTCTTGGAAGAGAGAACAACTTGACAGACGAGCGAGGATACCTTAACGGTATCCTGAGCCTAAACTTACTAAGCAACCCGGAGCAATCTTTCATTCCTGATTAAGCCATATAAAAAAATTAAGTCAAGGACATTGCCTCGGATATTTAAGGGTGTCATTTTAAATCTTTTGAGGCTCTCCATATAAGAATAATGTCTATAGGATATCCCAACCCGCCCTGCCAAACTTCTCAGACAGCGTTTTTGTATTCTTTCCATCCTAAGTTCATGAACAGCATAGTGTGGCCTCCAGACAACACTACAATACTCAAGTATACTGCGAACGTAACAGTTATAAAGCAAAATTATTGTTTTCTCTTGTCGGAATAATTAATATATAAGAGAAGAAAAAAAAAAACAAATATACAAATAAAAAAAAATAAAAAAATAAAAATAATATCTAGGCTGATTTTGAGTAATAAAATCGCATAATTATCTTAACATATCAAAATTAAAGGTCCAGTCTTTTTGTTTATTCATCATGTGGCTTAAAAACATAACCCACCATTACGTGACGACACTTCGTTTGAATATTTTCTGAATCTGACATTTATCAGTAGTTGTAAAAAAATAAATAAACAGCAGCCGATTTGACAGTAAAAGCAGATTCCGAGATAATACTGTTCTTACCTTATTTAATATTATTATTTTGTCGAGATCGTTAGATAACACCGTCTTCGTTTGAATAACATCATATTTTTTTTTATATATAGGATCAAACAGTTATGCAAATTTATATGAACATAAAATTGAAACATTAATAAACACATAGTTCCCTACATTACATTTGTTAAATTGGTTGATTGTTAAAAATAATTTATTATCTGTTAATATTATCTGTTTGTACATTACTGTTATTTAATTATTATTATTGATATTTCAATCTGTACATAACAGAATATCGTCGTGAATATGGCAGACGGTGTTTTTATGGGTGTAAAAAAGTGGAATTATGATTTAATTTTAAGAAAAGAAAACGTTTTTAATTTTTATGAATATTTTTGTTGTCGATTATAAACACTTACAAGTACCAAGTAAGTACTTTTACAATCAGAGTATAATACCCTATTATAAAAGCCGTGACAAGTTTTCGAACGTGACTGATACGATCGCACTGCTATTTCGTAAGACGTCGTTCTTTGACTTCCTTAAGATACTGGTAAATTTATTGAAATAAAATTTGTGAAGTCGTTTTAGCCATTAATTGTTATCAACAGAAGGTTTTATAATTAGAGAACTATATTTTGTTTTTTAATCTACTTTCCGCATCACGGACGCAAACCTGTGGCGTATGGTTACCGTAATAATTGAAAATCGCTCCAAAATGTTACTTAATTTTATTCCTGACTGAGGTTGGCATTAAAAAATTAGATGTGAATAATTCGGTAACCAGCATTGATTATTGTGACGTAAGTGTGGTAAAAGTTTTACGGTAAATTTTACAATTCAGTTCAACTCTAAGCACAGAGTTGAGGACAAGCTCGACATTCAAAGAAACGGGTGATTCTCTAGAATATCTAATCAGGACTCTGGGTCTGGGCAATCCCATTCTGAAAAGGGCAGGTTAGTGTAACTGACCTATATGATAAAACTAGCTACGGTTCACCTCACATGGATGCATAACTTCAGTATCGGTATGAATATCAGAATCTTAGAACAAATTGTTGATGCCTGGGAGAATTCACACAACGTTTTAGGTGTTTTCTGTGACGTACTTAAAGCTGTCAATTATGGTGTTCATGAAATATATAACGAATCTTCATATTATGAATTTAGATATAACTAGTTAGATTTTGCTGTCTCTTAGTTCAGTGGCTTTGTAGGAGGTTCATATCGGTGACAAGAAATCCCCTGAATCGATAGATCAACACCTATCATGGGTGTTTCACAGTGCTCAATGCTTCTTTTTAATTTATATAGACAAATTGCCT